ATATGGAGAAGGTGGTAGTAATAGGAGTCATGGCCTGTTTGCTTGGTGAGGAGGCAAAAGGATGACTAGGAAAGGACTTGAACAAAGAATTTCTTCATGCTCTGTTTTCTTGCTGAGAGAAATAAATGGAGTCAGAAACATTATTACAAACACCCCAATAATAGTATTATTTCCCCTTCATAAGATAAATAACACACACACTTAAAATCAATATTCATTTCTATACCCACCCCAAAATAAGTAGTTTGTCATAAGCTTTATACCAATCCATCTACCTATCTGCAGCAACAAAATTAATATACAATCATCAACCATATGTCCTATAATCCTAAGCTGTCTATAGGAACTCAGTGGTTCTCTACTAAGTATAGACCTGTACTATGTAAATATTCTTCATTCTTTTACATTACATGCAGTTTCCCTTCTTCCTAGTGGTGACGGGAACAGAAGAGTATGGTGAAAAGGAGTCTGTAACCACAGCAATTCCTCCATGCCTCTCTCTCTCCCCCCCCCCCCGCTCTCTTGAACTGATCAACGAAGCCACAAAAGTCTGGCAACACTGTTGCAGGAAACCTCTTCCGGGTTTGAATGGTGATGCTATCATACATGGTTGATCAGTGAGAAGATGTTTTGAGTATTTATAGTGCCAAACTCATTTGCTTCCCCTATTTCTACTCCTCTTCCCAATTGGATGTTTTGGTTAGGGAGATAAGTTTGACGGGCTCCGGGCATGGAGAGGTTTTCACAGTGCGGAAGGCCAAGAGTGAGAGAGACACCATTGCCCGAATACGTTGCTGGGAATTGCTCAGCACTAAACCTTCCCATTTCCTCAATTGAGTATGACCCAAATCCTCCAATGAAGTTTGTTGGGGCTCCCATTAGTGTAAAACCCTCGGTGCTTTGCCTTTCATTGCCAAATTTCATGGACATGTGCTCGGTGTTTGTGTCCTCGGGCTTGGCATCCATGTTCACTGATGGAACATGACTAGGGGAATGTACGATGTCAGTGATTCTTGGTTTCTGGGGACTTCCTTGTGTAAAGCTTCCCATTTCCGATGTCCGAATGAGAGAGAAAGCAGAGTGGTTTTGCAGATTTACTGCAGTTGGGGAGTTTGAAGCTCTGGAAAGTGAAACTGCTAGAGTATTCAGGTTTGTTGGAGCATCTTGTTTGGACTTGAAACTTTTCTTTTGATTTCCTGCACCAGGACTTTTCTCTTGTGAAGCATTCGACTTTGATGCTGAATCTTCATGGTGTTCACTTATATTCTTTTGGTCCTCTGATCCATTCTGTTCTTGTTCCTTGGTTTCTTCCATATACATATCTTCTACCATTGGCTTCCAAAGCCGAACTCGAGCATTTATGAACCAATTAGACACCTGAATTATGGAGAACCATTTCAGCATAAGAATTTCTCATTCAAGAACAGAAAAATGTCCCAAGAATCTGAAGAATTTTCGTGTACCTGACTCCTGGTAAGCCCTGTTTGTTTTGCCAGCATGATTTTGTCTGAATCCTTGGGATAACTGAATTCCAAAAGGCAAAACTTAGTGTACAAATAGAATTAGAAGCTGTTGATTTTGACACTTGAAGGAAGAACTCCAATGGGTTCTGCGAGATTTTAAGAGTACTTACGGATGGAGAAAGTGTTCAAAGAGCCAAGCCCGAAGAACAGAAACAGAACGCTCAGGCAATCCTCTCTGGGGTCTCCAAGCATTGTGTTGGATCATTCCCAATTGTTGTAGAGCTCTCTGTTGCCTGAGCTGATTATCGACAAATTTGAGCCTTGAACCCTCAATCTTCCTTCCCAGACAATCTTCTTCGCCTAAGCTCTTGCTTGCAGCTCGAATTTGACCAGTTATCGCGTCTTTCAGGCACCGGAATTGCTTTGAGATTGTCTGTAAAGCTAGAGCTGTGTAGGTTTTTGCTGAACCAATTCCTGCTGCTTGCTCAAACCATGAAATTACTATATGCATCTGGTGGTGGTATTGCCTGTACCTCTGCTCCACCTTCAAAAAAATGCCAAAATTGAACAAAAGAACAGAATTATCCAAAATTAGAGCGGTAATAAAACAATATCAGCATAGTTTTGTAATAAAACTTTGAAGCTCTGTTCTTCAATCCTTGATTTCAATTGCCTTCATAAATATGCAGTCATATATACTGTTGTGGAGAGACAATTCAACTTATTTGACTATTTCTTTTTGTTCAACAAGGGTGTCTGGACCAGTTTACACGCACCTCGACTAAATCTCTTTCTGATCAAGTCAAAGACAACTTATCTATACCGAAACATGGCTTAGTCCCAAAGAATTATTAAAATTCAAACTCAAGACTTCTGGATTTATAGATCGGTCCGTAAACCATAACACTTTTATCCAAACAAAAATCTTAGTGAAAACCATCAAATTAGAAGAGAAATCTTAGATGGTTCATTAAAGTTTCAAGATAGCTAGGAGGAATCATTGAAAAGAACACATGACTGAAATTCTGACCCAAGTATCATTGGATTGGTACTCTCTTTCAAAGATCTGATGCAACTCAACTGATAGTGACTCATACCCTTAACCAGCATATAATCCAAAACCCTCAACCTTTCTTCAAATCCAAACTCAATTTTTTCTTAAAATTTTCACTTTCAAAGTTAAACCTTGGCAATCCTCACAATTCACAAACCTGAGTAAAATCATCACTGTTGTGTGTGTGTGTCTGTGGGTTGAGGGGGGGGGGGGGGGGGGGGGGGGGGGGAGGGGGGG